TTATTCTTATTCTTCTTTTGCTGAGGAAAGACAAATAGATATTGATGAACAACATATTAGGAAAGAATTCTGCAGTAAGTTTATCAATGCATGCATGCATGCATGCATACATGCATGCATGCATGCATCCATGCATGCATGCGTCTGTGCATGCATGCATGCATCTTTGCATGTGTTTATGTATGCATGCATCCATGCATGCATGCATACATGCATGCATGTTCACAGTCTAATGCATTAACCCTTTTATCCTCCCTTACATACATAGACGCATGCATGCATGCATGCATGTATGCATGCATGCATGCATGTATACACACCCTACACACGCATGCATGCATGCATGCATGCATGCATGCATATAAGGGAATAAAAGGGGCATTTTGCAGTAGCCAATGAGGGAAGTACAACAGGGAGACAGACATCTATAGGGTAAATAAATAAAATAAATAAAATAAATAAATAAATAAATAAATAAATAAATAAATGTATATATATATGTATACAGGTGTATCACGTATACAGAAAGAATTGGATGAATTATGCGGAGAAAATTCATTAGCTCGTTACCTACAAGGTTACTGGTTCTGTATAATATATAAAATAAATAATAATAATAATAATAATAATAATAATAATAATAATAATAATAATAATATAAATAAATATAATATAAATAATTGGGGAGAAGGAACTGCATGCATAGATAATTGCGGCAAAATTATTTCTTGTTATCTTCCTTCTTCTTTTCTTATATCTAAATTCCTTAATGAGCCTGTTAATACTATTAAACAATTAAAGAATAAATATTGTCGTAAGCTTCTGCTGCTCCTGCTGCTGCTGTTGCTGCTGCTGCTGCTGCTGCTGTTGCTGTTGCTGCTGTTGTTGCTGCTGTTGCTGCTGTATCGAGTTGTATTGCTCTTGTTGTTTTTCTCCCTTTTTTCTTTCTTATTTACCTAATAATATATACATATATACATAATTAATTACGTAATTAATTAATTAATTATATTTATATTAATTAATTAATTAATTTATTTATTTATTTATTTATTTATTTATTTATTTATGCATGCAGCTTGTGACGAAAGAATGCTAGATGGTGTATACAGAGGTTGCCAATATAAAACAAGATTAGGTTTTGTTTGTCAATCATGGGGAGAACAATATCCACATAAACATAATATAATAATAGATGAGGAAGAAGAAGAAGGAGGAGGAGGAGGAGGAGGAGGAGGAGGAGTAGGAGGAGGAGGAGGGATAGGAACAGAAGGAATAGGAGAAGGAGGAGAAGAAAAAAAAAAAAAAAAAATAATTAATCATAATTATTGCAGAAATCCTAATAAAGAATCTTTTATTTGGTGTTATACAACAAACCCTAATGTTAGATTTGATCTATGTGATCCTATTGGTAAGAAATACCATCAGCAGCAGCAGCAGCAGCAGCAGCAGCAGCAGCAGCAGCAGTAGTAGCAGTAGCAGTAGTAGTAGTAGTAGTACAGTAGTAGTAGTAGTAGGTGTTGCTGCTGCAGCAGCAGCAGCAGCAGTAGCAGTAGCAGTAGTAGTAGTAGTAGTACAGTAGTAGTAGTAGTAGGTGTTGCTGCTGCAGCAGCAGCAGCAGTAGTAGTAGGATAGGCAGCAAGAGAAGCAGCAGCAAGAGGAACAGATAAATGCAGCACGAATAGCAGCAACTGCAGCAACGAGTAGCAGCAACTGCAGCACAAGCAGCAGCAAATAAATAAATAAATAAATAAATAAATAAATGTTTTTTTTTCTTAGGTATAACACGTCAATATGTACAACCAGCATCAACATTTTCCTTAGAGTATGAGGAAGAAGGAGCAGGGATATATAAGGCCCTGCGCTTATTTGTTCGTAAGGAGGAGAAGGAGACAGTGTCTCCTTCTCCTTCTTCTTCTTCTCCTTCTTCTTCTCCTTCTTCTCCTTCTTCTCCTTCTTCTTCTTCTTCAAGATCTTCTTCTTCTTCCTCTTTTTCTCCTTTATGCGGATCTAATGACCTAATTGTCTCCTCAGGTGTCTCCTTACCTACTGATGAATTAGGCATGTATATAGATAAGCCAGATATAATAGTAGAGGAAGGAAAGGTAAAGAAATTAATATATAATAATATACAATTAAATGATGAATTATTTGGGGCTTTATTTGCATGCATATGTGATTATGAATACATTGCTAGTAATAAATATAAACAAACAGGAACATGTACAGATAATCAGGATTTTAATATACATGCAGGTATACTACAGATAATGGGTAAGTATATTAAATAAATAAATAAATAAATAAATAAATAAATAAATAAATTAATTAATTAATTAATTAATTAATTATTTATTTATTTATTTATTTACTTTTTTTTTTATCTTTTTATATTATATATATATTTTAATATACATGCAGATATACTACGGGTAATTAGTAATTTATTTATTTATTTATTTATTTATTTATTTATTTATTTATTTATTTATTTATTTATTTATTTATTTAGTGCTTTTTTTTTGTGTATACTGTAAGTATAGTCTAAAGATTGAGGACTTTAGTAAATAAATAAATAAATAAATAAAATAAATAAATAAATAAATAAATAAATAAATAAATAAATAAATAGTCTATGTGTTGCTGCTGGTGGTTATACAGGTCCTGTACCTTTTTCTTTTAATAGGATTCCTTCTTATAAGACAAGTGTCTCCTTTTCTTTGCCAGTAATAGGCATAGGTATAAGAAAAGGAGACAGATTAGATATAGCAAGGGACAATGGTAATAGTTCTTGTTTATTAAGATCCTTAGAGAGGACATTTAGTATAGCAAGAGGATTTAGTCCCTCCTCCTCCTCCTCCTCTTCTTCTTCTTCTTCTTCTGCTGCTGCTGCTGGTGCTGCTGCTGCTGCTGCTGCATCATGGCTGCAGCAAGCCTTCCGTATAGAGACTACTGTCTCCTTTGATGATATACAAGAGGCTAGACCTCCCTATACACTAGGGAATACAAATAAAATTAATTTATCTAAGGTAGATCAATATGTATTATGTTGGACAGGGGAAGGGACAGATGGCAAAGCAACAGGATTAGTTACTGTATTCAAGACTACAGGTATATAAACCCTAAACCCTAAACCCTAAACCCTAAACCCTAAACCCTAGAAAATGGAGAGGGAAGAAATATTTAGATATATATCTATAACCCTACTAAACCCTAAACCCTTTATTATTTAGTGTCTATAAGGTCACAAACAGGGTAGATTGAATTTTGAGGGTTTAGGGTTTAGGGTTTAGGGTTTAGGGTTTAGGGTTTATGTGTGTATATTTATTATTATTATATATAGGGTTTGATTCATCAACTACACAAGTAGCAACATATGCATTATCCTCTGCTGGTGCTAATGAGGCCCTCTTCTCCTTATTTGTTCTTTATGGGGGCCCCCCTCCTATAGACCCTAATAGTATAACATTTACATTAAGGGAGGCAACGGAGACACCATGCAAAGGAGACACTTTGGCTAAATCCGCCCAAATCTCTACTATGCAGATTGATGAGGAGAGACAAGTTGTTAGGGCAAGGTATGCATGCAAGCATGCATGCAGTTGCTGCATGCATGCAGTTGCTGCATGCATGCAGTTGCTGCATGCAGTAGCAGTAGCTGCATGCATAATGCATGCGTATAATGCATGCATGTGCCTATTTTAACCCATACAAGAAAGCCCTAATAAGTATCTAAGCTAGTTATAATGAATGCATACATGCATGCATGCATGTATGCATGCGCATGCATGCATAAGGCGGGGGGGAGAGGGATAATTATAATTATATTATTTGTTTGTGTATATATATATATATATGTTGCATGCAGCGGTCTCCTTTTGCGTCCTGGGTCTAGTGGTCAGCTGCATACAGGGTCCCTATTGCATGTATGCTTGGAGACAGAGGAGAGTACAGAGGGGAGAATAAGTACAATAGAGGAGAGAGTAGGAGACAGTTATAATAGTATAGAGGAGGAAGAGGAAGAAGAGGAAGAGGAAGAGGAAGAAGAGGAAGAGGAGGAGGAGAAGAAGAAGGGGAGGGAGAAGAAAAAGGAGACAAAAGGAGAAAAAAATATATTATTTGGTGGATTTGCCTCTGTAGGAGAATTCGGTCTCCATCAACCTTGGCAAATAATAAATAAAAGAAAAAAAGAAGAAAAAAAAAAAAAAAAAAAAAAAAAAAT